CGTGACCCTATTCCATAACCGTCTCTGTTATAATGGTGTTGTGAATCGCGCTCAAATTCTTTATTATACAATGACCCCGTTTCTTCTTAGCCTACCGTGGATGACCTCAGATATTAACGAGGTACTACCCCCATCCGCCGTCACCGCCCATGTATCGAGTCGCACACGAGCAAACTCCGGGCTGTAGTGGTTCCCCTAACCCACGTACCCTACACATGCGTACACGTTGCTATGTCTACTATACATTCGACATGCTATTGGCTGACAGCGCTTAGCTAAGGAACCAGCCACACGACGGTGCGCGCATGTCACAGTCGCCTGGCTCAACTTAGTTCATCGCAAGGAGTAACCTGTTAGCGTATCAGATGACGTTGATATCTGGTTAGCTTAAGTCGCTACCTGTATTGTCTAACATGACTCGGAATGGTATGGTTGCTCGACTGCTTCTATTAGTTTTTCACACTGTTTCCTTAGCATACGTCGGCATCTAACAACTGGGATAGCACTGCAGGCTGTGCGGATCCAATACGCCTCTGTCGTGTTATTGCACTGTCTCGTTTTTATCGATTCCGTCCCAAGGCATTTGGTGCGATAGGTTTGCGAACAACTGTTGCAAACTAGCCCATTGTTCACCAATTTAACACACAACTCGCACTTGCTCTTAACCTGAGACATGTTCGCCGAGGTCACGCATTTTTCTGATAGTCACTTAGTGCAGCTTCCCGCATCAATGGTAAGCGTGAATCAGCGTGGCGCGCTCGCTGTCGGCAGTGATCCCTTATAGGCACAAGTTGCAGTGTTGGTCGGTTGATCGATCGATGTTAGGCTCGGCTGATTTGGGACCTAGTAGATGAATTTATACACAACGTTGAACACAAATTGAGAGACCATAATTTCCTACACAGATGCGTTGCGAAACATCCAATTGGAAGAAGCTTAGGCTTTTCAGACTGCCTCGAGAATTCTGCACCTAATGGTGTTACACAGATGGGCAATGGGCACAAGGTGAATGTGTTATCCGCTTATATTCACTCACGAATGACAGTCAAATCCGTTAGCGATGATTAGGACTTTAGTGGTAAAAGATAACTCCACGAAAGATGGATCATTGTGTAGAGCTGGTAAATCCAGTTCGAATGGCCGTACGGTAACTACGCTGCGGGAAGATAGAGAGAAGATATAAAGGATTATTCCAAATGACCCGGGAGCACGCGCGTCAAGCATGTGTGTGTGTGTGTGTGTGTGAAGGTATCCGGTTTACATAGCTTACTTGTAACACATCCTGCATGGCAGCGCAGGATGGGTCCGGCTATATCGCCGTGATGGTCGACTACCGTCCCCCGTGAATCAGTGGCATAAGCTGCCACATGGGTTCGATCCCCATCAGGAGACCCAGGGAATTCGCACCACTGACGAGTCCCAAGAGAACAAAGTGAAGGTCCGGTGCGGCTTCTAATCCAGTTACGATGAATCCAACAGAAACACATCCCATTGGTTGCTAACCCTGGTCGGAACGGAAGAAACACCTTTCCTCGATTGCACCCCAAGCACAGCGTAGCTATTTGAATTCGGATCCGCACGGGTCTGAAGTACCTGGCTGCGAGACGCGCGTACACGTTAGACGAGACTGGAGAACAAACGCGTAGATTCGTATGACTGTCCCAAGACCCAACAAGGAATGAATGGCTGGTAGCAAGCGTCCGATAGTGACCTTGACCACTTTTATGCAAACGCTCGGATATCGCCTCCACTCTCTACACTCTGCTATATGAACGGATAATCCGAAATTTATTCAGGGTCACTAGCATTTTGGAATCATAATCCGAATAAGAATATCAGGGACGAAGATTATGGGATGACATAGTCATTTCGTGTATACTCCTCAACCACTATATAAACAACTAAAAGGAATGCAAAAACAAGGTCACCTGAAATCAAGTGTAGATCACTTGGTTTCCGATTGGTGCGTGGCACCCTACCACGGTAGGCTTAATGTCACTGTCAGCTGTTTTTAGACACACGGCGGTGGGCGCTGTCGATGAATCACAATGGCTTCGAGTAGCTTCAGTATGTGAGACCTTTGGCTGCGCATGAGGACTGTGAATGACTTATTTGGGTTCACTTAGTGACCGGTGCTCATTAAATGTCACGTAATTGCGGAGGTAACTGCTTCTCCATTCCCCGGGTGCGATCGTCTCATTTTCCATCTGTTTGCGGAGCCACTTTGGAGTGTGTTCATTGATCCGAGCACCCAGATTTCGAGTAGTGCGCTCAACATAGCTGTCACTACAGCTACACGTGAAGCAAGGTTGCGTCCACAATTAGTAGACATTTAATGAGCACCGGTCACCAAGTGAACCCAAATGAGTCATTTACAGTCCTCATGCGCAATCAAAGGACTCACATACTGAAGCTAATCGATGTCATTGCGATCTATCGACAGCGATCACCGCTGTGTCCAAAAGCAGCTGACAGTGACATTAAGCCTACCGTGGTAGCGTGCCACGCACCAATCGGAAAATACGTGATCTATACTTGTTTTCACGTGATCTTGTTGCTGCATTCCTTTTAGTTGCTTATATAGTGGTTGAGGAGTATGCACGAAATGACAATGTCATCCCACAATCTTCGTCTTTTGATATTGTTATTTAGAATTATAATGGGAAATTTATGCTTCAAAGTATAATCCATAATGATGCACGTAAACCATTGCAAATGGGTGAGCAATGCGTTTGTTCTTTACAATGAGTATTCACCCTATGGACGTATTATTCTGTTTCGCATGGTTCCATCTCATCCCACAACGCTGCTTTTAATATGCCGTTACCCTGTCGCTTCACCGTTGCAGATTTTATTTTGACCACTTGTGTAGTCTTCGAATTTACAATCGCTTCCCAAATCAACCGGCGGAATCGGGTAAGCCCATACATTTTACCCCTCATGGACAATTGTCCTACTGACTCAGCCGAAGAGGAACATGCCTCCCACACTTTCGTAATTATAAATCAACAGAGTAGCAACATAACACACACACTATAGAGGAAGTAAATGTTGATAAGGTACATGAATTACCACATAGTGGAAATGTTCAGAGGAAAACTCGATTGGGTCGTTGCAGCTTGGAACGATAGCTACAGTTGTGTACTGCGGAGAGCATAGGTGAAATCTGCACTTTGCGGTGTACATGAGGGGAGCTCAGTTGTGACCAGCGCAGTTTGGGTCAGCGAGTTGATGATGCGAGCTTTGGGCAAGTTTCGCGTAGCTATTCGAGCACAGTGACAGAATCCTGATCTTATTACCACCAAGACTGTCAAACCAGGATGGCTCATCTCATATTAGGTACGTGTTAATTATTTGGGGGGAAATCGGAGTAGTAGGACCACCTGAATACCTCCCACAAGAAGCCACCATGTACGTTTAGGATTTTTAGACCTGCACTTATCCTAGCTAAATCATCCTGTCAAGATAAAAATACTGGGAGCTGTTGCGTGGTGCGTGACCAGTACCGCGTAGTGCTCACCTTACATTTAGTCATGATATGGCAAACCAAGTATTTGAATGGCTATCTGTCGGCGCAGTCCCGGCTGTCTTAGAATGATTTATGATTTTATTGCGTGTTAGTCACCCAGCTTAGCATATTGTCCCATGCATGGTAAGACGAGCGCTGTTATTTGCAAGCATAAGAAACAGGTGTGGCCCAATTCCGGAGCTTCTAGATGCACCACAGTAGCCCCAGGTTTGAAGGGGTAATGGACCACAAATTCTCATTTCCAATGACCGCCGAAGAAGAGGCCATCAGAGAATGTGACACCCGTTAGAATGGATGAAGACTGATGAGATGCCGCAAGCAGCTGAAGGGTTTGGAATCCTCGAATGACTGACGTCGATCCCAGTGCAGCAATGAACTATTAGGGTGCAAATATCTAATACTCTCAGTAAATTAGTGGTGAATAGCTATCGTTGACAGAAGTATTCCAGGTGTAATAAGACTGCCGCACTTTAGAATGCCATGATCTTCACACGACGATGGTTCCCGAAATCGCTGGATTGATAGAAAGGCATTTAGTAAACGATAACTTGCAGGTTGCCCAAGACTACCGCCTTTTATGTTTGAGACAGTGGGACGTGGTTCCACGCAATAAAGATTCACCACTTAACCAAACGTTCATGAAGCGTTAATAGTGCACAGCATACTTCTTATCTGTTGCTTCGTCTCTGCACAGATGTTATCAACTCCGGAAGAACCATGCGTTCGAGTGAAAAAGAGTCTCTGCAATACAATCACTGAACTAATAGTCGCATGAAAAAGTCTTGGGGTTTGGTCTAAACAACAACTAGCAACGCTTGAGAATGATGGAGTACGCAGCAACCATACAGCTTTGGGAACTTCGTTGCCAAATCGACTCCACCGTTTGCTGCAATAAACTGGGAGTCTGTAGGAATTACTTCACTAGGACTGTAAACATATTTGTTCAACAATTTACATTAGGAATAGATTTCAAGTGAAAAGAAACAATTTGCGTGCAGTTGATGTGAGATTCAGGACCAGAGTTGGCTAGGTACGCATTCCAAGCCCAAAGATAAACGATTATATTCTGTGAATGGAAGAACTTTCGTTCAGGAGGCGCAAGTGACCAAGTTGTTTTGTTCGCCGACGGCTTAACTTGAGGTAGTATAAAGAGTCTTCACATTGGAAGAATCAAGAAAGTACTCCAAGATTATCGGTTACAGTATGCGAATGTACGCAACGGTTCAGCGTGATAGACCGGACGGTTGGCGTAACCTTCCAAGTAATGGATTACGGTAGATTGATTGCTGACGTCCCTTTATCCGTCACGAGTCTCCTTTGAACATAAGCTCCAGTAGGGAAGTTTAGTTTTGGAACCTAGCGGGATAGTAGACACGTTTGCATCGTCATGTGCTTGGTGAGTAACAGCATGTGTCTGGCACTCGTGTGGTCATGGATATATCTCACCAGAACACATAGATCAAAAAAGTTTAAAAACTTCTTTGTATATTTCGTGATCATATCTAGTGTGCATCAGGATAGGGATAAAAAGATCGTTCAAAATAAAAGAAAGATGGGGCATAATGCAATTGGCATGCACACAATCAGTGTGACAAGCACAGTTTCCTGAGATAAGAAAGTGTAGTATTAGAATGATATTTAGCTATGCAGGGATACAACGTCAATAACAAGTGACACCGTGGAAGTAAAATGGCGAAGCAAATGCGTTATTACGGCTTGCTCTTCGCTTAGCTGAGAAACGCTCTCGATCTGCTTTAGAATAGACGTAGTTGATTAAGCGTGGAAACCAAATGATAGAAGAAATTCATACAAGAAGATAGAAATTGTCGGGTATGGATCCTCAGGTTGATGGAGAGGGTTTCGGCGTGTCTGATATCCAAGGCTTCGGCTTGTTTCCATAGACACTGAAAACACTACTTCCTGTCAGATATCCACTGGAAGTGTGGGAGGTGGGTTGTAGGCATCTATCGATTGGGTATAGGCCAGGTGTGGCAAATGCGGAGAAATATTTTCCTGTGGGCACATCCGGGACAAGCGATCTGTTCGGGGGATTGTCCATATTCGATGATGAATTGGGAACTAACAATGTGCGGTCACGTCGGTGAGCCTGTATCAAAGTAAATGGGAGCAAGAATGTGACTTTTTGATTAAATCAGGCTCTCGGACATCCAAGTTAGAACCTGATTAACCGGCTTCAGATATAGTGACTGATAACTAATAAGAAATTCTGTAACACAGCTAATCCCATTGTATGACATGTGTAAGATTAGCCGAATAAAAACCCACATTTATAACGAACTTAAATTGAAAAGCGTTTTGGTGTTTAAGAGGTAAATGTGTGATATTGTGTAGCAAAAAACGACAGTACTTGTTTTCTGTCTCTTAGAGACTCCGTCTCGCACAAATGCATGGTATGGAAACGACGAAGTTGTACATACCTCACCAGATGATGAGGAGTAAGATGACGTAACAATGTTGATAATAATAGGCATATTTCACAAACTGGGAGAAACTGTAGCGATAGTTGACACTGGCCGTTTGTTACAGGTGGTATAATGCGCCAGCAAGGGCTATACAATATTGAGTGATTGTGCGCGCTTCTGTTGCATACATAGGATGCATGTGTGCGATCGTAACTTCTCGTGTGATGGTTTGCCGATGGGAGGCTCAATTAACATGCCAGCAGTTCTCCTTTCCTTTCTTCCCATACTAACTGTTATTCGTGGTGTTTGGTGGATAGTGCCGATGAAATTTCCAGGACGCTGCAAACATTCAGGGTTATGTGCTTTGTGCCATTAACTTCTACTTACATCTTTTGATGTTAGCTAGTCTCGTTTAAAGGATCTTATCGCGACTATATGAGCTGATCACCATTTGTTGTTAGGTACGTCAACTGCACCTATGGAGATAGCCAATAATATTACATTGGGAACTAACATCTAAAAGGAATTTGCCCTCAAACTACAGCGGAAACGGGTGAAAAGCGAAAAGCCAGCAAATACAACCATCGCAAAGGTGGCCTTACCTACCATACCTATGGGGGCTCACGAACAACATGGAGCAGTTGATCTTACGGAAGATAGTTGCGCGCCAAGTTGGCCTGAAAACAAGGGCTGAAATCTGGTTGCCAACCGGTGGATGATCCCAAACCGCCGATCATAGACACATTCTGGGGCAGTCTGGGATTAAGACGCAACGTCACTTGCCTTTGACAGTAGTTTATCGTTCCAAATGCCCAACCCAGAGATAGATTCTCGCCTGACACTAGACTTGTGGTGGGTTCTGCGGCGAAGATACAGCCAATGTTCACCTACTGGAAATTCCAGCATCCTCCAGCGAGCAATTTAACGCCGACCTGCAAGTATATTGTAAGGATTTCGCTCTTCAGCCGTCAATTCGCCCACCCGAATAGGATCGTCAAATGAACCATTAGTGCTTGATCTAGTGCTCACGAAAGAAGAATTGTGTTATGCGTAGTATCCACAATAACATAATGGCTTGATTCGGACAAGCACACACTACAACCTACTAAACGAACCTGTTGGAGAGGCTATCTAGGTGGTTTCGGACGACTGTTCCATTGATATTAATTGAATGAAGCTCGCTGTCGAATTCAGTGATCAAATTACATCTGCACTGGAAAATGTACCTATGCGATATGTAAGAGTCCCAGTCATTCGGAATAGGACACGAAAACGCATTGCGGGAAGAGACGCAGCGTGGCGTGTGTACAGAGCAGACCCTACTACTGACAACTGGACCCCGTATGTAGTGCAGCGCAATCACTGTACCACACTTGTCTGTGAAGGCAAATTAGTACCCCAGCTGCACCTAGCTGAAAAGTTTTGTGCTAACAACTAACTACTGTACAGACATGTGAAAAGCCTCCGGAAAACGAAGCGTGATGTTCCTCTACTTATTTCAGCAAATGGATGTTCTAAGGCTCCAATACCCCAATGCGCCACCAGCATATGCTTGTAATCATTAGTACAGTGACACCTTTGATGAAGCTGCTATCATTGCATATAAACAGTTCTCCCGGAATTGACAACATTCCCCCGAAAACATTGCAAGTGACAGTCACGGAGATAACTGAGCCGTTAATCTGATTTTACCAAAGACGATTGGAAGAACAGAAGGTTCCTAACGTGTGGAAGCATGGTATCAGTACACCGATTTGCAAGGGTGTTCGCAGTTTAGGATCCGCCAATTATCGCCCGGTGATTCTTCTCCCAGTACTCTTAAAGGTGGTGGAGTCGAGCATAGCTGAAGAATTGATGGGCCATTTAGAAAGACCTAACAGCATAGCGCCGGAGCAACAAGGATTCCGTTAGCATTGGTCATATACTACCAATCTACTGATTGCGACTGGCAGTTGCACCAAAACAGCCAATAGTGGTACCGGAGCTGTCACCCTGGAGCGCTTTGATCACCGGAAAATGCTCCAGAGGATGCGAACATAGGGAATTTTGAACACTGTCCATGGATGGATAAGAACTTTCCTTCTGCAGCGGCGGCTCCAGATTCAGGGCTCATTTTTCTCATTTTCTCTCCGATTATCGTCGTCATCGTGGAGGTTTGATCTTCAGCCGACCTGTTCTTAGAAAGTTGAGGAGGGAATAACAAGAATGCTTTCATAACAATACAGAGAGTTCGACACGAGGCCACAGTTTGAAACTTTTCAAATCAAGCAGTCAGCAAGTGCGATCTAGCCTGACTTTATCCACTCACATCGTGAATGACTGGAACCGCCTATCGGACTCCATCGTCGATGCCGAGACCGAGGATCGTTTCAAGCATTTGTTGAATTCTCCTTTTACTTTGTGGGGATCCAGCTGTTTCCAATGCAGCTGTAGTGGTCATCTGTGCGACTTTGTTTCGCACTGACCTAATCATAATAATAATAATGTGTCAGCTGTACGCCGTAACGACGCTTCGCTGCCGCGCGACCACCACCAGTCGCGCGCGGACAGAGTATACCGCAAGGACGGCCACCTTTACGCGGATTCGAACCGGTGACCTTAGGGTTGCAAAGCAAACGTGCAGACCATTCGGCCACCGGCCGACTTCGCACTGACCTAGTCTATCTCCGTAATGATCGGGAAGTGACGGAGCTGACAAAGTACCTTCCTTCTGCTCCAATGATCCAAGGGAAAAAGCCTGTATTTTCTGCGCAGTTACTTGAGTAGTGGGGATGAAAACCTATCAAGCCGAAGCCAGCTGAGTTTAATGGGGTAACAAAGATTGAGACAGAAATTGATATAGTTTGTGAAGTGTTCGCATTGAGCTGATAGATCCTCACTAGCGAAGATTGAGAAGTCGGTTGAATTGAGCGTTGGTTTGTGTTTTACAATGTTTTCCGCCAAACAGTTTCGCCGCCTAACAGTCTGAATAGACTTCTTAACATCGCAACGTTAATTGGTCTTACAGTAAAGCTTTGAACATATCTTCACGTTGCAATGGTCTGAATAGCCAAGGGGGCTCGTGTTTGTGTGGAAAACAGGTTAAGTTTGTTAGTAAAAGCTAAATCTAAATGTGCGTCAAGTCTGGTGGGGAATTCTACCAAGTTGGTTAGACCCAGCAATTTAATAAAGTCTGTATCATTTCTATTGAAGTCACCGGCAACGATGCAGAGGGAACGTATTATTTTCTGTTGTAATTCCAAGGCAAGGTGATCTGCAAACATTTCTATCTCGAACTGTGCTGCGTTAGGCAGTATATAAACGCACCCAACTACAGCAGATAGACCACTAAGAAACTTTGGTTTACATTCCAATAGGTGATAACTTATTGAAGCTGTTGAGGTGGAGAGCTGTGAAACTACTGAAGCGTTATAAAGCTCTAAGCCAGGATGGTTTACCTCCTGCTTTAGGTAAAGATGGTGGCTATTCGCATTTTCGAGAACTCACTGCTCTGTTCTCAGAAGCCTTGTCAAAAGAGGAGGTTTCATCTGCTTGAGGTGGGTCGATAGTCTTCCTCATCCTCAAAAGGGCCTGCACACAATGTGCTCCAACTACAGGGGTATCAGTATGGTTCCCGTCGTTTGCAACGTGCTAATGCCTATCATACTTCGAAGGCTATCCTCAGCTCGAGAATGGCTACAGCGGGAAGTAGAGGCTGGTTTCCGCCCTGGTCGCGAATGAATCGATCAATTTTTCACATCCCGTCATAGCCTCGAGCCCCGCCATGTGAATCAGCTGGACTGGACCATAACGCAGTGCGACGGTTTACGTATCTCTTTGACCCCCGGGCCCTTTGAGAACTACTCCTACCAGATTGGCTAGTGGTTAGAGGTCAGATAAGCCAAGTCTTCTGATTCTCCAGGTTGAGGGCATCCATTTCCGTAGAACTATATCATTGCCCCATCCCATATGCCTCGCGGGCAAGCTTCTGAGCCAAAAGCTTTGGTTCAGGACCCTAATGGTCTTCCTGTCTAGGTCTGGACTTCATGGCAGGATCTCAGCCCACATACAACCCCATGTTAATTATATCCTGCATCGAACGTCACGCAGCTTATCAAGGGTCGCCTTATATGCTGCATACAACAGGGTGGATAAGCGAAAACATACTACTGCTGGCGCCTCCGTTCTTTCATTTCCACCTGTTTCTTTAACTCCCATCCCAACCACCGTTACTAACCTACCTTCTATAATTCCCAGCTTAATTGACAGCAACCGAAGTGCCACTGGAGTCAAACCATCTGCAGCTACCTTCCCGCACCACCCACTGGATGTCTATCGGCAACAGTCCCTTATAAGGCCACGTTGTCCCGTTTCCCTGGTGGCGTGAAACGTTTGCGCTCTAAGAAAAATAGGTCAAAGGCTGCACTAGCACGCAAGTTAGACACGCTGAGTATTGAAGTGTGTTGCTTATCCGAAACTAGGATCAATGATTCTCTTGGGATTGTTGGATTAACTGCATCCGGCTTATCCTCTCGCTATTAGTTGCACGCATCCGGAGACACTGATGCAGCACTCACGGGTCAAGCTGGGGTAAGTATCGTACTTAGCTCCAAAGTTGAGTCATCGATGATTGATTGGATTCCGGTGAACAGTCGTTTGTGTGCAGCCCGTTTGACGACATCGAGCAAGTTTGATTCACGAGGTAGTACAAAGCGCTGTTTGTGGTTTCCGCTTATGCTTCCACCGATTGTAGTTCTAATGCTTCTAAGGACAGATTCTATCATGAACTGAACGCGCTACTACAGTGCTACCAGTTCAAATAGCATGGTACTTGCAGGGATATGAATGTACAAGCACGCCGCTTGGGCTCTTCAGAAGCTCAGCTAGGTGGTAAATATGGGCTTAACTCCAACCGTACGGACAACGGCGAGCGTCTATTGCAACTGTGTGCGGAGCACCAGCTGTTTCTTAGTAGCACCGGTTGCGGACACAATGGGCGCCAAAGCGCCATTTGGTGTCCTCCTGTAACTGGTCAGCGATGGACCAAATAAATCACATTGCCATAAGTTACAGGTAGCGTGGTTAATCCTAGATTGTCTCTCGTACTGGAGTACTTGCGTCGACTCTGATCATGCTCTGGTACGCTATCGCCTTTCCATGAACTTTACGGGGAGATGCACCAAGTATCGCCCCCGATGGGCAACTGAGACGTTATTCAGCCCTCGGTTAGGCAAGCATACAAAGCTGCACTGCGTACGAAACTTTCGCTGCTTGTCCTACTGGCACTGAGCTTCAGTGAAATAAAGTCTCGGTCGCCATGTGAAACTATCACTGAATACAGTCACTGGATATCCGGGAGGTCGGTGAACTTGTTGGAATCTAAAAGAAATCTCCCGACTGACTGAGCGAAATGTGACCACATGAACTATTAGGGGCGAACTAAAGCGGAGCCTGCGCGCTGACAAGGAATCCTGAATGACTAGTACGGCTCAAGATGTTGAGAAGGCAGGAGGAGTAGGCAAATCCCGCAAGCTCTTCCAGCCGATCCGGGCTACCGGTCCCAGGAAACCAAACGTCAGTGAGACAATCAGACAGCGCACGTGCGCTGATATATAATAAGGATCGCGGTGTGGCTCGCTGGGCGAAATACTTTCAAGATCAGTTCAGTTGTCACCCTGCTTCTGGACCTCTTCCTACTCAGGTGATGCACGGTGAGCCATGGACGGTTAGTTTAGAGGGGCCATCGGAGGCTGAGGTCCGAAACGCGATCACAGCCCTCAATCGTTTTCGTAGCACTGGCCCGGATTCCTTGCCACCTGTACTATTTAAGGATGGAGGTGAGGTCCTCTGCAAAGCAGTGACCTCACTGTTCGAACATGTATGGAAGGAGGAAACCGTCCCGGTTAACTGGAGTGAGTCAAATATAGTGGCAATATATACAAGAAGGGCAGTCGCCCAGACTTTGCTAACCACAGGGGTATTAGCCTAACGTCCGTAGTGACAAAATTACTGGCCTCAGTCCCGTTCGTCGCCTCCGTGCAGAACGGAGATTCTGGATTAACGAAGAGCAGACAAGTTTCCGCCCAGGACCGGGCTGTATAAACCATATGTTCACTTTGCTGCAGGTGCTAGAGCATCACCACGCATATCGACAATACCTGTGTTCCTCGATTTCAAGATTGCATTCGACTCAGTCGATCGATGCATTCTGTTCGAAATACTTGCTCGGAAAGGTGTTCCCATGAAATATGTGAACATTTACGTGCTGTGTACCCGAACACTTCAGGCCGAGTCAGGATCCATGGTGACCCGTCGGATAGCATTCCGACAACAAGTGGCATTCGTCAGGGTTGTCCAATTTCCCCATTTTTGTTCAATTTCGTTGTCTACAACACCATGGAAGGTTCCCTTGCGGATTCTCACGATGCATTCGTTGAGGTGCTGACTGGTGACATTTCAGTTGATCTTGCTTATTCGTACAATATTGTAGCACTTTTTAATGATGTTAGGGAAGCGCAATCAACCTTGAATAACCTGTGCTGGGCGGTTCCATTATTTGGTATGCTCTTCGCACTAAAGTGCAATGTGTTACTGCATGACCACCAGACACTTGATGATCCCTTGATCCTAGATAGCGAGGAACTCAAGGTAGTTGATTAATTCCCTTACGTTGGTAGCTGTATCAGCAACGATGGGTGTATAGCTACTGAAGTCAGTTAATGCACTGCAAAAGCCAGAACTGTTATTATGGATCTGTGACATCTTTGGCGACAGAAAGGGGTTTGCCCTCCGTTTGTAAGGATGGATTTACAAGGCCACAGTGATTACTGTCCAGCTCTATGGGAGTGAGACTCGGCCCCTTCGGTCTGATGATCTAAGGCACCGTAAAGTCTTTGATCATTGCTGTCCGCGGAACATTACTGATGTCGGGTGGCACCAACGTGTCCGAAACGATGATGTGCGTAATTTAGCGCTGGGCAATGATACTCAAGGTAGTTACTTAGAACAACAGTTAACAACGAGTAAGTTACGTTGGTTTGGGCACATACTACGTACTCCTGGTCACCGCTTACCGGGAAGGGCCTTGTTTTGTCTGCCAGTGGTAAGCTGGCGCAAGGCTCGAGGCGGGCGAAAGTTGACTTGACATCAGGAAATGTAGTCACTGACGACATAACTCGGTGCCATCAGTCCATCTAACCTTCCAGGCTGAAGTCCATGTGACTCGCCTTGTACTTGGCTCGAGACGTTACAGGATATGGCTGGCAGTCGGCACCAGTGGCGTTTCTGCTGCCATCGCCTAGTCGGATTGTCTGTTTAAAGTGTGTTTGGTGCTGAGTTATCTGCGGGGTAATGGTTGCTTATGATTGGGACAATGGCAGCTGTAAGAAAGCTGTCTTGCCAACGCCGCCCTATCTTCCCACAATAGCCAGCTGTTGGTGACTGCTGGTCGTTGTTAAGATGTAGACGGCTTGACCCTGGATGTTTGCGTAAGGCATTAATGTTACCGGTAAGTTTCATTAGTCTCTCACTTATTATTCTCATTTCCGTAGGTTACTGTGGCTGTATGGCAGCGTAGGCATCAGTTCAATTTGCTGATGTACTGCTGTTGATGGTAATGATGTTTCCTGGATATCTGTGCTGCCTTCGATTCTGTCGACAGGACTGCACCGTTACACTGAGTCTTAAGGAATAGCATCCCCGGAAAGCTCGTTTCCGTACTGCATGTTGTGTACAGTCTGACCTCGGGTATAGTTAAGGCTAATGACAAGCTTTCGCTTCGTCTTTTGTCACAAGGATACCCTATCTCCACACTCCGCTTCAATTTTGCCATTGAGGATGTCCCCAAACATTCTCTGAAACACCCGCTAAATGCTAGCGTTGTGATCCTCCTAGGTAGTCGAGTAGTTGACTTGGACTACGTTGGTGTACTCGTCTTGTTGGATGACGGTCCACAGACCTTCCAACTTGCACTTAACCGCCTGATGATTGAATTGATGAATTATGGGATGCACATTTCGCCACCCAAGTGCAGAGCCTTTTTGCAAGACTAGCAGATGCTTATATCTTCACTCAATCTTGGTGGTGAGACACTGGAGGTTGTGGATACTTTTGTTTAGCTAAGCAGTTGGATTACTTCTGGTGGGGATATTGGAGATGAGATTTCACTGTGTTTCTCAAGAGTTTGTCTCGCCTTCTCCAGATTGAGACACTTGTGGCGCCGACATGACATCCGGCTCTCCACTAAAGGGTGGGTCAATTGTGCGACTGTCCGTGCTGTACTGTTATACGGTTGCGTGGTTTTGTTTGCTCGTACCGTTGACCTGAGCTGGCTGGCTGTCTTCGAGCACCGTTGCTTACGGTCCATTGCCAGTGCGGGGTAACTGCACTATATAACCAATGTGGAAGTTAGACAACGCGCCTTGGGTGGAGGCGGTAACTCGCTCAAGGAGCTCGTGCCGCTGCGGTGAATAGGTATTGCGCATGCCCGATCAGAGTTGTTTGCGGTTGCTGTGCATAGCTGGAGGAAGCGGCGTGGTAGACAGGCTACGACCTGAAGGTGCTGTATTAAAAAAGCTGACGAAACAGTTGGCCAAGGCCGGTTGTTCATGACTCCCTGGTTGGGGTCCCAGAGATACGGAATGTCGCTGGTTGGAGACCGTGGAAGTCATGGCTGAAGACGTCAGTGGTGGACGTGTACCTCTGCGTGTTGCGGTCATTCTCCTTCCCTTTCCGAACAAAATAGACTATCGAAGAAACACAAAAACTGTGAGAAAAACTGGGCAAAAACGGTTACTTGTTTTTTTCTTTTTATTCTGATGCGGTCTTCCTATTCTGCCACGACTCCGATGGCACAATTTCTGCACCACATATTATGATATATATAAATACATATATTTTGCGGTACAGGGGGTAGTAGACTGCCTTCCCAAGAGATCTGTTGGTCAGTAGATGAGCACTTGACCATGTCAATACCAGGTTGTTCTAAGGTAAAGACCGAACACGTGTGGTGACGGAAGACGGGAAGTAGTCGTCGAAGCGTTTGATATAAAATGCGCTTCATATGACTTTTGTTCTGAAATAATTATGACTTCATGCGGGTGGATGCTGCGTAACACAGGTACCAGAATTGTCGAATGGAAATGCCAAAGAACAAACTAAGTTCGATCTTGGCAAGCAAACAAGGCATCGTCAAACAATGACAAAAATGTTAGATTTACGAAATCTAATAATGTGAACAGAATCAATGCATATCTATTACCCCGCCTAGAAACTGGGCGCAATCGTAACTCGCCTGTTCGTACTTCTGAAGCCTGCTCCTCAACACTCTAACTTCCATCGCCAACCGAGAATTCTCCTCTTCAAGAGCTGCGATTGGCAAAAGTGAAGGCAAATAAGGTAATAAACAGACCAATTAATCGTGCTATATCCTGAATACACTTGGAATACTGACGTATGCAATTTGTGTTTCGAAACGGTTGCTATAGACAGACCGTATGTTGCTAGGCGGTTTTCCTACGCACAAAATGTGAGAAACCTGCACACGCTAGGTCTTATTCAATGACAAAAGTTTTCACAGAACGTCCTCACAGCCGCGTTGGCCTGACGACGCATTGTTATACAGGTGGAAGGGTCTCCCGGGAATTAGGAACAATTGCTGTGGTTGCTCAGCAACGCAGACAGGTGGCAGTCATGTATGGTGGGCTTGACGACACAGTCGAATGAATATAGGTGGTATTTTAAAGTAGAAAACTCCGCCCTTGTTTCTGTTTTCTCATACTTGGCAATTGTAGACACAAATAACTGGAGAAAATTAGGCAGTAAACATCAACACGTCATTAGTAACGACACAAGTAACGAGTTAGTTTCAATCGAGTATGGAGCGTGTTAACGAGGAAACAAATTAAATATGCAGCTACCTTCTTCTAAATCATTTTCACGCTTTGTAACCATTGGATATGGATGGGTTAGCATGAGTCCTTTATAACCCAACTAATTGTCAAACGTAGCAAGTCTCCAAGGCCTAGAGTCATCGTTTTCCGTGGTAACGCGGTAGTACTATAGCTACTGTGGGAAAGATCACGTTCGTCTGAGGTAAAAAAAGTGTGGAACTTCGCTTCGTTTTGAAGCATTAGACCGGACGACTAAAATGAACCCCAACTCGAGATTGTTTGAACTGAGTGCTTTGCGCCGCAGCATGTAAGCTGTGATTAACCTCAATGTGCGCGTTTAGCCTGTGAAATCATCTCCCAATCTTTGCAACGGATGCGACATCAGCTCTGAAGTCACGGGTTACTTGTTGTGCCGTTTCAACGTATAGATGCTACCGACGAGTTTGAATGTAGAATCGGGCTTAGAAGATATGGCTGAAGTATGCAGCTTCCTCTATACATGCCACTGCGGAACGAACTTCCGTGTCAGGAACTGTCAAACAAAGGATGCACCGAACCTGGCGCACGCACTGTTGGTGAAAGCACTCCAAATAGCTGACGTTATTCTTGTGTAATGCCAAGTTTACTTGCTGTATAGAAGAAGCAAGAGTATCAACGACTTGTAAACCGTCAGTTTGGTCCGAACAATGCGCTAGTGATTCTTCCACAAGTGATGTGACAACTTGCCAAAAGCAGTACTCGCCTTATATACGCGGAGGGTCCTCTGCACGTCGGTTGACAGTATTCCCCCGAAGAAGTTCTATGAGGTCTCCAAAATCTTATCAGCAGTCGAAATTTGCGGACAGCCTACGGATTCCACTCTTGGTGACGCATAAAAACACGGTCTTGCTTGTGTTGAATCCAAAGTTAGCCACCGTCAAAGGGAGAGCCGCTATCATACGCTGCAACGAATCCACGCTGTGTGAATAACGCGCAGTCATCGACATAGAACATACGGATGGTTGTCGCACGCACTCCGGTAATCGCCCCAAATACGGTGCACAAAAAGAACGTCTTAGCTACATGCATTGAAAGCAGCAGACATCACATCAGGGTAGGGGCTAAGACACAGCTTGCTCCACACCAGAAACAACATCAAAGTTATTCGAAATTAGTCCACATAGCCATACACTTGCTCCAATAACACTGTGCAAAGTCTCAGTAAAACTAGGAAAATTACCTGGGCAAAAAACTTACCCAGCACTCGCCACAATGTCGCTCTTTCCACAGTGTCAAATATCTTGGTGAACTAGATGAACAGCGAGTGGAATGGCAAGTTTTGCTCATTATGTTACCACCTACTACTGACGAGTTGCTAGTACCATATTTAGAATGTTGCGACCGGAACGGAATCTGTGTTGCTCCTAAGCGACGTCTGATTCGAAACAGTTGAACGGAATTCGAGCAACCGTGTTCCAGACGGAACTCGTCAAGTTGCTGTCAGGACGATTGTGGGCACATTGCAAGTTCCAGTTGACGTTATATAATGGTAGAACAAGGGCCCACTTCAGCTCAGCTACCATTTTTTTCAACTACCAGGCGTTCTACTAAGTAGTGCAACGCATGTAGCATGGCTACTCGAGACAGGCTGAAAAGGCATAAAAAGGTCAGTCAACATATTGGGCTCTTACGGAAGGCTTTGGTAAATTGCAAGCCATCAAGCTTCCGCAAATGCTGAACGCCTATGTGAGGTTACGTGTGTAATATGCGATCCAGGTCTGACGTCCTTGGCGGAATCTCGACATCAATGCACTTGAAGCTCCACAACGTAGAGCGACCAAACTCGTTAGAGGATTGTTTCATCTCTTCTACCAACGCAGACTGCATTCCGTGAGATTGTACAGTGGTGTACACCGACGCCAGCGAGGAGACCTAATCATGATTTACTTAATTATGACGAACCCAACTCTCCCAAGTCGCAATCCGTTGCAGCTGAGCCAAAATACCAATCTGAATGGCCATTACCTCAAACTGCCTACGTATTACAGCCGGCTTGATTGTCGATGAAACGTTTTCTCCCTCCGTGCGTCCCTTGCGTGGAATGCCCTTCCGACTCACGTTTTCCCTGCCCCTACATTAACGCTATTCAAAAAACGCCATGATGAAACACTTTTCAACTTGCATTACTTGATTTAGTTCGTTCCACTTGGAGGATGAAATGACGCAAAGCTAACCACGTGCTTAACGGCCCTCTCCGCAACGTCGCGGTGAGTAGCTTGTCAGTAGCCTGGATGTAAATAAACTGGATTAACATGTCACATCTTTCAAATGAAGAAACACACGGGTGAACGTTGTTGTTTCCTTTTACTTTTTCATTTACTGAACTATAACGGCACTTTATACTATTTTGTGTGTGTACATCCCATTCGCAATTCCGACTATCGTTATGTAGTAGTGCGTTTAAATCGGCAGACGCTTAAAATAATCATTTACTTATACGATTATCCTTTAAATTTTAATTTTTACTCCAACCATCCTATGGGACTTGTCAAGCACGCGCTTTTTTATCCGTGCTAGTAAGACTAGAGTCATGGGGTTTGACCTTCCGAATCGTCAAATCGAGTTCCAGACAACACTATCTTGTATATGTTGCTAAAAAGAGTCACCATTATCAATAGATTCGTAACACCTCAAATATAGTAAACATTTGCAAGCTTATCAGAAATGCGCTTCCCAACAAAAGTGAAGGAGGTGAGAATTTGTCAGGTGTAGGCAAAAGCCAGTGCAGTTTTTAAAATGTATTTTCGCTTGGTCAATGAGCACAGCGAACGACGTTTTACCAGACTAAAGAATTTACCATTTGAATGCCCGGCAGTTTGATTGCGAGTTGTCTACCTGTATATTCCTGCATTACGGATTTATTTCCGGTGCTCAGAGGCGTCGAGGATAATCTTGGTCAAAAATCGGGATTGCGGATCCCGATCCAAGCACACAGCAAACAGTCAAACATCTAATTAGGAATGGTTAACGTTGTTACTCGCCCAAACGACTAACGTAAAAAATTGCTTCTGAATTATGCCTCCATACGCAGCACGACGCTGCCAGATACGAGCGCTACGCATTGGGAGTATTACGCACTTCTTGGTCATCAGAGCCCGAAGTCGCCAGTGTGAGACCAAAAGGCAAGCACTCCATTAGGGAACACTTTTAGAATGTTGCAGACCTTTAACTTGTCTTGAAGTGTCGCGATCCTCCATGAAATGGAGTTTTCTGTTCTCCACGACCGGTCCATACTCGGATGCAGTTTTTATCTTCAGACCTGCGGCTGGCTTGTAGAATTGAAAGTGGTCGGAACGAGTATCGTGATCTTCATTCCTTGATACCGAATCCGTATCTTTTAGCACGGAAGAGGGGTTTGATCTTGCATGGCGAGCGAAGCTTTCTGACACGGCTTCTTGAATCCAATTCTGTAGGAATTGAATGGAAGATTAATGCAGTCACAGTAAATGTAAGGGATACTGTAGAACACATGCATTCTAAGGCAGAGTAATATTTTGCATTTATAATCTTTCATGATGTTCATCATAAAATTGTTCTGTCGACTGAATGCCATCCTCAATGGGGTCAAATGGTGGGTGCGTGAAATTTGTAATAAGACCACCAACGTAACCTCTACTCTCATTAGTGGTTCCAAAACTGCCGGAGATAATTTTAGCAATTTACTAGTTGTACTCGTTGGTGACATACCAGTGCCCGAACCAAAACAAGACCACAAAATGTTGACAATGACACATGAGAAAACGATCAGCATCAGGCTGGAGAGAGACGGTTCAGATTAATTCACATAAAAAACGTATTATTTGGTCAGTGCAATGGAGAAACGAGATTTATCGGACAAAGGTTACGAACCACATGATGGTGTGAAAAATTGGCAAATAATGAGAAAAATATTGTTTGAAATGCGGATTGAAGAAATAAGTGGGCAATGCATTGGACTAAAGGCTGTCAGTTGTAGGCGATTGGAGCCTGTGAAATCGCTGCTTAACCCTAAGCCGCAATGTGACAGATGGTGTTTTAGTGGAGTAATGTCACTCTGTAACGCCATCATTTGTAACTTCGGATGTTTTCCAAGTCAAATTGTTGAGTCTAGTTACAACCCCGAATTATTCTCGTATCACATAGCGCCGCCGGGCACCCATGGGACTGATGTGAGTTTACAAGGTGGTACAATTGGTTGTCCAGTTGTTTTGACGGAATGCAAACCGGTAAACCCGACAAATGCATACACGGCCACTTGACCCGGGTGTCAGGATGGATCTCAGGCGTTAGAAATGACAATTGTTATACCGATTCCGGTAGATATAACAGTGACCTTGGGACATGCAATAACAACAGTAGTACTGTAATGACGTACGTAGTGATCACGACAGCTGGGCTGTTGGTATGCTGTAACGATGCGGACTTATAGCGCGGAAAGACAAGCAGTTGTTAGTGAGACGAAAGACAATCATTCCGGTAATCTATTCCAAACAGCAGCTGTTTCTTAGGGGCGAGGACTAGAAGGACGCCAACCTAGTTCCAACAGCTCGCGATGCACCGTAGAAACAGAATAGGTATTGTGTAAATGATCCCTATGTCACACTATTCAATGAAAATTTCACGTTTAATTAACTAGTCGGTATATTCCAGCATCAGCAGATAATCACTGGGAGTAATTTTCACCTGGGTGAAGTTTTCGTAGTATGAGAATAAGCGAAATATGCCTGATGTACCAGGTAAAGAACAACATATCTGTGCCTTATTTGTTACGGTGAGTTTAAAGGATAAAATCAAAGCCACACTAGTCTAAGGGAAACGTATGGTGAATGCTTCATAATGTGGTTTATCGGTTATTAGATACAGGCAAAGATAGCGTCCGAGTAAGTTTCTGTCACGGCTATCAATAAAGCTTTACACACTACAAGCCTACTGTACTCAATGAATTCAAAAAATTGATGTCGATCAAGTAGCCATTGAATGACGAAGGGATGGTTGCTGAATTCTTTTTTTGTGTCCACATGAGCTTAGGTTCCTCCGCTTGAGACACGTACAAAAGGTGAGTGTAAAAAGTTTGCAGGAACTGAAAACGGATTCAACATCGATTAGTCTGAAAAATTTATCTCTCAGAACATGAAAATGACTATTATAGGTAGAAATTCGTCATATATAGACTCACTCAGACAGCCATCCCAAAGCAGGAAAAGCACTGTACGCGCGTTTCATCCTTTCGGGAATCATCAGCAGTGCGCATTCCATCGGACCCTTGGTCCCCCTTAGCTCAGTGGTCTTAACCACGGACTGGCTACAGTCGAGTTGCGGGTTCAAGCCCCACCAAGAGTCCGATGGAATGTGCATTGCTGATGATTCCCGAAAGGATTAAACGTGCGCACATTGCTTTACCGGGCGTGTGTCTAGATGTGACGAATTTCTACCTATACCATTCAACTATATCCATACTACTCTTCTGAACATGATTATGCAATGCCACCATGTTTAAAGGAACTGATCTCACGCCGGTCACGAGGCTGACCGAAATGCATGTACGCCAACAGCCGAAGTTTGATGGGGAGACGGATTGATCAGCATGTAATGCCGTCATTACCCCATTCTGACCGAACCGGATCATGTAGTGCCAATGTACAACGCGCGTTGTAGTTAGGGAAACAAGCGAGATGGTAAACTGTTGGGGTTGGGGAATGGAAACTCGCTGGTGTGCACATTGCACACGTTTTATGCCCAGCAAATTAATAAATAGTCACATCACCTTCGGATAATCTTATTTGCTTCTCCTCACATCTACTTGGATCAACAGACTCTTTCAACAGTAATAAGAGAAAAATCAAGTAAACGTTAAACTTTGTAAGAAAGGTTGAGGAAACTCAAGTTATTGTAGCGTAAACCTCAAGTCCATAATCTCCAACCTGCTGAAAAACATTATACTTCTCCAGTATCAATTCCGTCCAGGAAGCTGCTGAGGAAATCATCGTCCTTCTACTAATAAACCGTAGTAGAAATTTAGGTGGGAGATAGGCTAATGCACGTTGAAAACACTAAGAGTTAATTCGCGTCAAAGCGCAGAGAATCGGAACCCGTCTGTAATGAACAATGAATTTATACTGGTTAAGAAGCGTTGCTTTACAAGTCCCGTGGAATAGTTGGTGGGGATATCAACATAACAATAATGATAATAAGGATAGTAAAATAGTTAATACTTTAAATTTGAAAATAAGGACTTATTGTCTGCTTCGCTGTAGTCCTGCAATCCGCGTAGATCCACAGCACCCACAGTTAACAACAAATAACTCCATGGTAAACTCCAGGTGTAGGGTGGAGACGTAGTGTTAAGTAACAAAGTGTAAGTGGATGAGTGCATCGTCTAACCGTCTTTTAAATACTGTTACTGCCGGTGCAGAGACGACCGATTCTGGGAGATCATTCCACGGGTGATAGACACGAATGGAAAGGAAATTTCTGCGGCACTCCAGACGACTGTATTGTTCTGCGAGTTTTAATGAGTGACCCCTCGGTTTGTGTTGCTGCTGAGTTGCAGTAAAGGGCGGCACACATGATGTAAGTAACAAAGTTTCCAAGGGCACCATTTTGATGTGCGTCCATGGGACGAAAACAGTAGGAAAATTCCGTGGGTGTTCTTTCTTGAGTGCGTCGTCGATCCAAGAGAGAGTTCGTGTGATCGATTTGAAACGGAGGAGAGCCAAATCAATACACTCGAATCAGCTCTCGGTCAACTAAGCAAAGTCCACGTGGCCTGCCCTAGCAGTCTCCACTGTACCGGCCACGTGATTTTGAGTAAAGAATAGAGGGAAGACAAACAAAATAGGATAATGTAAGATAATGGTAGCAATAAAAGTGAAAGTCAAGGAAATGGAGACGAAAGTTAAGAGCCAAAAGAGAAAGTTTGGTACTGCAAGCCAAAGGTATCGAGTCGATGTGCAAACACCTTCACCGTTGGTGCTAGCACCATATCCTTCGGTAGTGCATTCCACGATCCTAAGAGATAAACGAAATTCAGCCCTAACGCGATCGGATCTGGACTTGTAAAGCTTCAGTGAATGGCCCCGAAGAGTTGGCATCCGGATCGGGTGAAAAAGCAGGGACAGGTCAAGCCCAATCTGGCCCGTCAATATACTGAGACTGTATTTAAGAGTAAGTAGAAAGAATTCTGTACAACTATCGAGTTACGAAAAATCAAAGACATTTAGTTGTGAATCATCAGCAGTTGTATCTGGTCCGTTAATCGTTTATTCTTGTTCGGCTAGGAATTTGTACTAGTGTCATTAGTTCCGGGCATACAATGTCATCTTTTGGCATTGTATGTGCATCGTTTCACAAAAGCACAGGTTTCGGAAATAATCGTCGATACGGGTTTTAAAACACTTCACAGAGTCGGTCTCTATTAATCCTTCTTATGTGTATTCCATAAGTTTATGACTCTTCGTTCGATACCTAAGTTTTAAGTATTTCTGAAGGCGCCTGCAGTGCATCGAAAACATCTGCAAGCTGAGGAGCCTATCCGGATACGAACGATTTCTTAAACCGTGCACCATTTTGGTGCCGATCCTCAAAAGTTGTTCAACTGCCATCTTGTAGCGGATCAAGCATGGAGGACACGCCTGCACGCAGTACTCCAAATAAGGTATGACAAAGACTGAGAACAATATAATGAACATCTTCTTTGTCATGATCCCAAACGATCTGCGGATGATCCACAGCATTCGGAAAGATTTGCGAGTAGCCGTAGTCCAGTTCTCACTGGATTTAAAGGCAGAGGACAGGTAAACACCTAAGTCGACTTGGTGTGTAACCTATGGCACTGCATTTCTGCCAAGTAGTTGACGAGTAGAAGGTGTACTTGGTCCTATGCGTAGGACCGAGAAAATTGGCAAGATTATTCGGCAGCTGCCACAAATCTGACCACTCCAAAAACTTGTAAAATGCTATCTGCAAAGCCAAGGTGCATTCAGAATCGCTTACTGGACTCCAAAATTTTAGATCATCTGCAAATAGAAGGGATGATACGTTGAACTGCTCAGGTGGGTCACTGCGAACAGCAGAGGACCGAAAAGCGACCCCTGTGGAACATCACTTAGAACGGCTTGTCGGAAAGAGAGGAGGGGGAGCCAACTCGAACGTTCATCATTCTGCCCTCTAAGAACGTGGAAATCCAGTTCAAGACATGGCCAGAAACGCCGTAGGATCTTAGTTTAAACAGAAGACGACAGTGTGGAACAGTGTCAAGGGCTTTGGAAAAGTCAATGACCAAAATGTCCACCGCCAGTCCCAAATCTACAGCCATACTGTTTTGCAAGTAAACAGGCCTCTTTCCAGTCTGCTGATGCTTCCGAGCCATCAGGCCCAAACAGCACGGGGGTAGACGAATTTGAATTGCATCGCCGTTTGGCGTAACCAA